ACACACACACACATACACACACACACATACACACACACACAGACACACATACACACACACACACATACACACACACGCACACACACACACATTTTAGAAGAAAATAAGTAGAGAATGACATAAGGACATTGGAGGCTGGATTCAGATATATGTAAACAGGGACCGACTCCACCAGAATAAAATGAAACCTCTTGGTGACATCTTTGAGGACAGATGTCTACCTTTAGGAAAGCACCGAGGACACAAGGAAGGAAAATGGGAGAAGCTACCCCACCAGAGAGTCGCTGCAAGGCTGTTAGGTTTGGCTCCTGGGTCCCAGGCATGGCTTCTTTCCCAAGATCCCACCACCAAAAATGAGACAAGCTCATTTCTCAGCCTCCCAAAGGTCTGACAAAAGCAGAGCACAAAACCTTGGGACCCCAGGAGGCGCTCTGCACCAGGTCAACTGTGAGATCACCACTGCTGAGTCGGCCACCCAAGCATGGAGTGCGCCCTGGAATCTCTACCATGGGGTCTGTTGAAAGAAATGCTAATGACACTAACTCACCCAGCGCTGGCTCAGCAGCAGGAGAGGAGTCCTCAGCTGACTAGGCTCATTCACCAGGCTTCCTCCAGCTCCAGGCTCTTTGAACAACCACTGTAACAAGTTGCAAAATAACAGCCACCCAAGCACAAGTTGAGAGGAGGGGAACTGAAATCGAAACCACTCTCCTTTCCCGAGGAATCAGTAGTGGGTAGGGACTAAACAAAACAACCAGTTTCTGACCCGAGCTGAGCTGAATTCTGCTAGAGGTTTTTCCTGGATTCCTCTGGACTTTCTGAAGTTACCACGATGCCACATCTCACAGAGCATTGTTCTGTCCACTCCATACCACTTAAAATAAATTAAACCGGAAGTCATGGTTCACACCTGCAAACCTAGCAGGAAGGAGGCTGAAGCAGAAGGACTGCCAGGAGTTCAAGTTCAGCCTGGGCAAGAGAGTGAATGACCAGCCCTGTCTCAAAGAAACAAAGCAAAACAGAAATCAGATAAAATTATGCATCTGCCACATTACTGTTGCAACCCTTAGCACTTCTCAGGTTACACCCTGTTTTCTTGTGCAACACAATCCTAGTAGAAACTCCATGCACTGACTTGTAAATGTGTCTGTGTGGAGCAGCACCAGCTACCATCTGAGAAAGAGTCAGGGATTCAGAGTGGAGCTCCCAGAGACAGGATTGGGCTTTGGTAGAGAGAAACCCAGTGTAAATTAGTGCTATGCTTGGAAAATGGGGGCCGGGATCCCTTTTATTATTTGCTCTATCTGTTAGAGGAAAATTGATTTCTTATTTTTATTCTCGTGGTAGCTTTCATTGTTGTTTGTTTAGACAGGATCTCATAAGCTCAACCAGTCCTCCAGCCTGGCAGAGATGGAAGAATGACTTTGAACTCATGATCCTTTTTCCTCTACTTTCCAAGTGTGAGGATTACAGGCATAAGCCATCCCAGCTGATGGTATAAAGTGCTCAGAATTAGACCCAGGTCTCTGTGTGTGCAACAGAGCTACATCCTCATCCCCTTTGAGCTATTTTTTTTTTTAGTTTATGATTTGAAAACTGGATTTTATTCATTGTTGGGAACTGCCTACTCCATACCCTCTTTAGTCCCATTTAGAAAGGAAAGAAATTGTATGGGAAGTCTGCTGTTCCTTTCCAGGGAGCATGTTCCATCACTGCTGCTAAACAGGAGAAAACAGAATCACACAGCATACAAGTTTGTCTGTGATACTACCCAGAGAGCACTGCCAGTCAGTGATTGCCATTCAGTGCTCTGGGTCTCTTGGCCTCTTGGATCCAGACACCTGTGTCTGCAGTGCAGCCTCCTCCTTCCCCTCCACACATTTCAGAACACTGGGGAAATGAGCCCTCTCAGATGGAGCAGGGGAGAGCAGCACCAACATATTATAGCCCAAACCCAGGCTGTGTATCCTTGCCAAAGCAGATGGCTGGATTTCCCCTTGCAGAGCAGCCCTTCCTTCCCCTTTACCTTCAGTTACCAGGGGGCAAGGGAAACAGAAACTGAAGTTATGTCCTGACATGAACCTGCTTCGTTCAGGGAGTCAAAGATGAAAGCTCAAGCCCAAGCCCTGAGTATTTTAGCTTTCTTATTATTCAAAAGAAAAAAGGAAAAAACAGTCTTCAATTTCTTTAAAATGCTTATCTGCTGTCAGCTCCAGGTTCAATTCTTTAACTGAAGCTTTCATAATAAATGGTGAGAATTGAGACAGCTGACACACCCAGCGTGGCTTGCTTGGGAAGGAGAACATGTGATTCAGTCAAGTCTGTCAGTAGAGCTAACAACACTGGGTTGTTTCTTCCCTACCTGACTCACAGGAAGTTCCCAGTGTGCTTTCCCAGTGGACTTCCCAGACTGCTGTTTCTTCCTTGGTGAATTGTCCAGTGAACTTGGCCATCCCTTTTATACAAACCCAAAACTTCAAATCCACCAATACTAAACTCTGTTGAGCTCTGACATAAAGCTACAAGTAGAAATTTCTATTCTAAGAAAGACTCCTTTTTCAGAAATTATTTAAAATATTGTGTGTGTGAACTGGGCATCGTGATGCATGAATATTGCTAGAGGAGGAGACTATGAATCAGGAGTATAAGGTTGTAACACAATAAAATAAATGACCCAGAGACTGATATTGGGGCTCTAACTTCAAGCTGAAGTTCACAAAGGCAAAGCAGTGGGCCACTAGCTCTCTCTCTACCTCAGGTTGAAAGGGCTGATCCTGTCTCCACAAGCTCTCACCAAGCCTCAGACTGGAACCTCCCCCCAGTGTGGTTGGAGAATGAATGCCTCTTCTCTTTAATGTGACTGGAGAATGAATGCTTCTCTGAGACTTGCTTCTTTCTTACATACTTCCCTAATGTTGGGATTAAAGATGTGAGCTATAATTCTCTTTTAGACTGATTTACTCTTGTGTAGATCTGGGTGGCCTTGGGCTCACAGAGATCCATCTATCTCTTAATCCTGAGTCCTAGGATTAAAGGTGAGTACCACCACCTCCTAGCTTCTGACTGTTGGGATTAAAGGTGTGTGCCTGGCTTCTACAGCTTGTGGCTGACTTTGCTTTCTGAATCCCCAGGCAAGCTTTAATAATTCACAAACAATATATCTCCACACAAGGCTACGTAGTAAGCTTAAGGCTATTAAGGGCCACATGAGATCTTGGGTATATGCAAGCTGTATTCGCCATGCTCAACTCAGAAGGCTGCTTCATGTATAGGACCTCTTTTTTCATTTAAGACAAATTCATGTTTGCTACTGCATGTGCCAGGCTGGATAGCCTGTGAGATTACAAGGATTCCCCAATTTCTGTCTCACCAAAAAATCATTTGGATTAGAGATTTCAAATGGATTCTGGAAATCCAAACAGTGTCTCATGGTTGTGTGGCCAAAGCAGATTTCGATGAAGCTCAGAAAAACATCTTTCCTGTAGCAGAGAGGAGGGATTCTTGGAAATGACTTAAATTTTCAATAGGGAGAAAACCATCCTCCATACACAGGCATTAGTGAGAGCATCTTCAGCTCTCCATCCCCTTGACCGAGTGTTCTGGTACATCATGCCCAGCCTGAATAATAGCCAATAATAAAAAGTGATTTCCATGGCCATATAGATGCTACGCAGGTGACATTAAAAGCATGCTATAATCTGACTGACTTAACAGTTAATAGAGTCCCAGATGAGCCACAACAGATACTATTTTATTATTAACTTCATTTATATTATCATTAACTATCCCTACTGCTGACTAGGTTGTAGACCTTATGTAATAAACACAAGTATTCATTTATGCTCACGGTTTTTTCTTGGTCATAAGAAATGACTACATCTATCTAATGGATTAACAAAACAGACCATGTAACTTGCTATGTAAATGAATTGTGAGTGGAAGGTACAGAATTCTTAAAGGCATTTCTGATTCTCACTATCCCTGCTTTTTCTGATATGTATCCTACCATGAGAAATGGAAAGCTCATATACAAATTGCTCCATTCAGCAGATTACAAAAGGAATGGACACAAAGCTTACACTTGAATCTAAGCCAAAATCTAGTATATACTTTCTGCAGCTAATTGAGCTATATGAAGAAAGAAATATGCATCACTTTTCACAATCCATTAACATATTTGGTTTTATTGTGTAATATTACTTCAGTCAAACCTGCCTGGAAATATTTCTGCCTCTCTTCCAAATAGAGGAAGATTCCCCAGTTCATTCACTCTTCCAGGTGGCTAGTTCTCACTTCTGCCTTTCTTTGTTTAGGCAAGTTTCTGGGATAGTGTAGAGAATTTTCCAAATGAGGCAAATCAGAGAATACAAAATTCCTCAAGTACCAGAAGGTGTGATTCTCTCTGTTGACAAGGAAGAAATTCTGAACAGATGCCAATGTAAAGAAGTAGTTCCTTTGTCTTCTCCCAAACCAGACACTGGAAGGATTTCCCACAAACAATGTACACTGGGGAATCTCTAATGAGCATATCTTCAAGCAGCTTTCACCATTTAATTAAGAGACATCGGCACATGAAATAAACAGAAAAAAAATATTTGAATGGCTTGTTTCTTAGTTGTCATTATTTCTCCAACACTTTAGCTGAGAGATGCATCTACTTTTCAAAATGTTTACTTTCCTTTTCTATAGTGTTCTATGCAATGTGTGTGATTTAAAAAGAGAGAGGGGGTAAAGAAAACAAATACTCCCCTTAAAAACTTGCATGTCTGTCCATCAGGTGACTGTCCCAAACAACAGCTTCTCACAGTTCAATCACTTTCCTCCACGGCACACATACATTTCTCTGCATATAATTGGACGCATTCCTGCCCTGTTGTGATCTCCAGTTTCCCAGGGAACAGACTTTGTACATGGAAAATACAACAGTTAATGTCTGTGTATATTCTGTAAACAGAGGGAAAGATTGATCTGCATGGGTGGGAACCTTGGACGCATTCCTGCCCTGTTGTGATCTTCAGTTTCCCAGGGAACAGACTTTGTACATGGAAAATACAACAGTTAACGTCTATGTATATTCTGTAAACAGAGGGAAAGATTGATCTGCATGGGTGGGAACCAGAGAGTCAAATAATTCTAAGGAAAGCCCACACAATGTCAAACAACAGCCGTTTAGGCATTAATAACTCAGGGGATGGTGGCTTTGCAGCTCAGCCACCCTCAGCTGAACGTCACTTCATGCATGTCACATTGTTGCTGATAACCGCAGGAACAGCCTGCTTAGACTCAGCCCTGTGTTTTTTGTTATTCTCCACTTGCCTGGTAAGAGATTCATAGCAAACCGTTGAAGAGAGTGTCTTCATCCTAAATTCCAAGATCTCCTTGAAAAATCCAAATAGAGATGGTTTGGCCTCCCTCGGTAGTTTGTAATATCTGATTTGTGAGTAGGTCATTAATCTTCAAGCACAAAAACTATACATGTTTCTCTAATACTTGTCACGGGTAATTTACTACAGCGTAAGACATTTTTGAGTTTTTTACTTTAGTAACAGACCAATTAAAATTTGCTGGTAAAGATATCCAATTACATATTTACTATTTTGTTTGTTGTTTTTTGAGACAGGGTTTCTCTGTGTAGTCCCGGCTGTCCTAGAACTCACACTGTAGACCAGG